GACAATTTCTTCCTTCTCCCCTGCAATTTCTGTCATCGTCAAATCGTCTACGGGGTTTTGCGATTCTTGAACATTATCATGCTCTTCTTGTATTATTTGCGAACTTCTATTTTCCTGGTTCTTCGCAGCCAGTTCTTGTAATTGCTTCTCTAAAGCTTCTTTAGCTTCATCTTCGTCATTGAACTTTTTCAAGCAGTGTTTGCCAGGCCGATCAAGCTTCAGGAAATCGTCATAGCTTTCTAATAGACCTGCTTCATATTTGTTAGTCCAAAGATAAAACTTCCTGCTGGCCATAGCTATAGATTAGAGCATGATCAAAATTTAGCCGAGAGTAATCTCAGTAGACCTCATGCATCCGTCCGTCGTATATTCATGGTATATTCATTACTTTATGGCCTTAGCACTTTATATAATAAAAAGCAAGACTAGTGATACAAATCCTAGCATTGATATTTATTTTCTTTACAATTCATAATAGAAGTGGTAAATATACAATTCATAAAAGTGGTAAATGTGCCAGCAAGCCATAATATCGTTAGACCAGCTACAACTATGGCTTGATAATATTACTATACTTTTGTTAATTTTACAGCTATTTCAAAAAAATTTTTCAATTTCAAGAATTTCGAGTTAATATTGCATACTCAATGATGTATCTCAAGACCAAAAAGGCATTGTGGGTTCCGGTATTTTGAAATAAAAAATGATAAGTAAATATATTGGGAGTTGGTCTTTACTGTAGTTAGTGTATTGTTTTAATGGAATGCACTAACATCAAAAGAAATAATTAATATTTATTTAAGACAATATTACATAAGACCCAAAATGCATTTCGATCTTGGAACACACGATTTAGTATGTAGTATTCGAATTCAATACAAAAGAAATGCCACAAATTCCATCGAGAAAAATGGGAATGTCTTTGTATTTACTTGTTAGCCTCGCATCCACCATACTTATGAAAAGGGCCCATAGGCTACGTTAGAAAATAATCAATCTTTAGTTCCTTCAACAGAACTACGAGATAATTTACTCTACAATAGTCAAAATACAAGTTCATTTATACATATCTGGTCAAACGTACCCGCCAGCAAAACATCCTGACCTGAGTTCGCAACGTAGACAGGGTGAGGTCAGTCCTAAGATGTCTTTGAATCCCCGTCATATTGGCTAAAAAAGGTCAGGAATTTTATGAAAAGAAGAGGAAGGGAGGATGACTGATTTGTTGAAGTTAGCGGATCGAGAGTTTTGGATGAAACTCCTAGCAGTATTCTCAAACCAGCTCAATTGTTTCTTCCATTCAATTGAGCTGCATTAGGATTATGCTGCGAGGGGTCTAGAGGCTGTTCTAAGTCTAACTGTTTGAGGTATGCATGAGTTTATGTAACCATAGGCCTAGGCCCGCCTGTCCATTCACTATACTCCAGAAGATACGATGCTGCTATTTTCATGCAAATTGCTAAACCAACAGCACAACAAACCTTGGCTTTGTGTTTTTGTCCAAAGAGAAGAACATTTCCAAGAGAATTTTGAATTGCAACAAAAGGATTGCATTGGCTCAGCGTCTCAAAGCAGCGATCTTCGAACTCGATCCACACGTCTTCGTAAGTTCGACAAGGGAGAAGTTCTTTGCTTTCTCTTTTGTTGTCATCATCGATTGGTTTCGGCTCTTTGCACACAATGTCTGGAAATTCCAGGAAAAAATACGTAAGAATTCGTAACATTTTCCTGCATGCATATAAAGTAATAGAAATTCGGTATTGACGCCGGAGTATGGTCATTGTAAGGTAAAAAGCCAAGTGTTTTCCTTCCATGCTTAAGAATTGTCCCGGGGGGAGGGGGGGGGGTACTCCCCTATATTTGCTATACGGGTATGTGCCGCCCTATAGGGTATGGTTTTTCGGCATTTGGGTCTGGGGTAGGGTATCATTTTTTGACATTTTGTCTGGGGTAGGGTATCATTTTTGTCTGGGATAGGGTTACGATTTGGTCTTTTAGTCTGGGATAGGGTTAACGATTTGGTCATTTTTGTCTGACGCTTTCTTCCGGCACAAAAACAATAAAAACGTTAGTAAATATTGATTGCAATCTATTGCATAACCGTCTTTTCCGTCTTTTAGTCTGGGATAGGGTGTACAATTCTTAGTTTTAGTCTGGGGTAGGGTATGTAAAATCAAAATTTTAGGTCTGGGATAGGGTCAGGGTTTTGAGGTCCTGGCGGCACACCCCTACCCAAGTTGGGGTGGTAGTATCCCCCCGGGAGATTTGTGTATGTTCAATCCTTTCTGAGGTCATGCTGCACTATAGAAATATCTTTTGCTAAGGCATGTGTAATGTTTTCCAGTTCTGGCCACTTCTCATTCGGAAACTATTAGCCATTCCAAGATCGAGAAAAAAACTGAGTCGAGAAGTTGGCATTGCAGTGCATTGTGGGACTGTTTTAGGGGAACGAATAGACGCCATCTTGGAAATATGTCTATTAAACGGTCCCACAATGCATTGCAATGCGAACTCGCCCCAGCTTTTTCCTCAGCCTCGTAATGGCTAATAGAATATTTTTATTCTTTGTTTGATTAACAAACCAAAAACAGTTTTCTGTCCTTTATAATCTGATCTAAACACGCGGAATGTTGAGAGAACACGAGAGGAGCGTAGCTTCTCTCGTGTTTTCTCAACATCCCAGCAAGTGTTTTGATCAGAGTATCTAACACAGAAAACTGTTCTTGATTTGTTTTATAAAATAACAAACGTGCGAGAAGATCGAAAAAAATATCGTATTATTCTGATGTATTTGTAAAGGATGACGCGAGCGTGTTTTGATACCCTCATCAAACCAACCAATCGTAGCGCGCGTACTATCCCAATTATTTTATAATTTGTATTCATATTCGTGTGTCTTTCTCTTGAGAAACCATCAAACAAAGAAATGATACTCTAGGAAATGACATGTGGTATAACATGGGAAAACAAAGCCCAAGGTGAAGAGGTCTATTATCCCATACATACCTTGAAGTGCATCACTTTTAATATCGTCCATGTCTACCTGAACTTGTCTTGAATGCGAGTGTAATCTACATTCAATTTGTCTTCTGAATTGTGAGCATTTTACTTTAAGGCGTTTAATGACACCGACATTTGTGTGGCTACCAACTTCTTCATCAGCACCGGGGTGTTGAATGACATCTGTCAATCAAGCAGATTATCCCTCAATTATTTACGACTACAATTGATCCATTCAGTACTGTTTTGAAGATTTAAAAATTCCCGCAGAGAGGTTGTGGTCTGTGTGCCCTAGACATGCTCAAAAAAGGAATGCGTGCAATGGATGAGATGATTTTTTTTGTTCAAAGTCTATGATCTCTGCAAACAGCACAAATCAACAAACGAACGTGCGCGTGCAAGAGTTACATTCACCTTGTAGGTGAATATAACAGCATAAGACGTTAATGTTGACCAATGAACGCGCCTGATTTATGGACTTAAAAAACTAAAGCGTATTAATTATACCTTTGATTTCATTTCTGACCCGTTGGGAGATGTTTCCCACCATGCCAGGGAAGGGTTTCATCTTGTCCATGATGTCCGTAATACTATTCTCCAGATACGAGAAACTAACTTTCAGCTGTTCGACACGTCCAAGCAGATCGTTTATCATTTCTCTTTGCTTGGAAATTTGAACCGATGGCTCCGTTGACAAACATTCTGCGATGGAAGGAGATAATTTGATTTATTATCTGGTTAGATGGAAATCGATCTGAGAAGCAAATTTGTATATGCAAAGTTTAAAACCAGTCCGCAATCATACGCCACTAGATGGTCTTTACGCGCGGAAATCTTTGGTCCATTACACATTCCCAACCCTGGCCTAAACCTCTACCTTCACCATTGAATAAGATAATAATCATGACGTTTTAAAAACAATATTGTTAACATTTATCTAGTATGTAGTGGTTTGATACATTTGCTCGGCGTGAGGCGCAGGAACGCGAAATAAACCCGGCGTGATTTATCTAATAATACTACAATACAATCATGTGGATGTATACTTTTACTAACCACGTCAAAAAAGTTTATTTAAAGATGTATGTTATTATATTTTTCTATTTTAATCCTCAGACATCTATTAGGCAAGAATGTTAGCCCGCACTCCGTCACCAAGGAACCCTGCTGCAAGGTCATCCGGGTGCTAAAAATATCGATGATTTGTTCGCGACCTCTTAATCGTTATGGGTTTTCTCATGTTCCATAACATGATAATAATCGATAATTTCGATCACTTAATCAATTACCTTTTACGATTTCCTTCTGAGACACAAGGTTGTAGTTTTGAGCGACATCTTCACAAACTGAAACAATAAATGAAATATTTTGTTCAAATGATTTAAAAGACTAATTGATACAAGATGACGTTTCGTTGTCATCTGATCTGTACTAGATTTGGTAATTATAGCGCCCGTATTAGGTATCTTATGGATAACCTTTACTAGTTTTGCATGAGCCATGGTTATGCCATGCTTGTTAATCCTTGTTAATTTAATAGTCATAAAACAAATGGATAAAGAAAAAAACTAGAAAACTTTAAGAGTAAATCGTAATTCTCTTCCGCATCAAGCTACGACATAAATGACATCATTGGGATTGCTGCTTAGCTGATTGATAGCGTAATGTGAATGCATAATGAAGGTGATTTGGAGATTGAAAGATTCTTGGGAATAAGAATCCTAGTAAAAAAATAACAACACTAGCTTCCGAGTGCAAAGAAAATCATGAAAGAGAAAATCATTAGCAATCGATATACTAGCTCACCACAGCAAATAATTTTCCCATGCATTTGATCGAAAAAGTCTTGGTTTAGTGATTCCATTGCGTGTACAAAGAACCAATATGCATGGGGCCCCTTTGTATTCAGCCTGTCCACTAAAGCCATTATTTCCTCTTGTGTTGTTTTATGAACATTTCTATTGGTGATGAGCTCGCAGTCTGATACATCAAGAACTCTAAAAGTCCTCAAGAAACTTAAGACATGTGGGATTGTGTCTCTTCCCAGAATGTTGGAAAATGTTCCCAGAAGTGGGTCCAATCCGGACTCCTCGAAGTCTTGCAAGACGTTAAATACTTTAGGAACTTGGTTTGCAGACGTTTGGGATTTGAGACAAGAAATGCAGTCTTGGATTGAATGAGATGTCATGAGATTGGATGGTGTTTGGTCAGCTTATGGTTCTGTAAAAATAAACGATCAGTCGGACCACAAAATTAACTACTTGTATAGAATTACGAGATAAATGTTAGTTGAACGAAATCAAAAAACTTACAGTCTAAAAATTCTGTCATACAAGTCGTAAGCCCAAGGTTGAGATGATTCCACTCGAGGGTAGATTAAAACATGCATGATTTGAAGGGAAACATCGAAGACCACTGCCTCTTGGGCTGGATAATCGTCTGCTTGTGATGGTAAGCAAATGCAGCTCTAACTAAGATGTTGCGACTTGTTATTGACTTAAAGTTCAACTATGCGTAAGATAGAATAACAATATCAAGCGCTCATAAGTAACGCAACAAAGATTCCTCATGAAACATTTTTTCTACTTAGGAGGGTGGGGTGGGGTAACAAAGCATTAGTAGTGTGCTCAAAATAAATTCATATTTCTGGAATATTAATAAGTTAAATGTTTCTGTAAAGAAGGTCATCAGCGTGGGGGTAAATATAGTAAGTCAAAAGCTACGATCCAATATTTTCTAAATCGTACGCGCTATTCTGTACGCCCTTTCCAGTACCCCTCGGGGAAGACACGAATGATTGACTTCATGTCGTATGTTTCATTATCTTCGTAGGCATGGTGATTTGAAAATAATCAAATAAACCGGAATAACTTAAGAACACGTAATGTTCTATATGTAAGTAATCTAGGGGGTTTCCTCGGGGATCAGGCCATCGCATATGACGAGAGAGCCAACAGTGAACCACTACCAACAATTTACAATTACTGGTTTTGTGTTAATGGTTTAGAGAAAAAATCGAATTACGACTGATGACAGCGTTGATCGGCCCAAGATCTTTAAATCTGCTGCCTGTCTCGCTCCTGTTTTTCTGTCTGTCTATCTGTCTGTCTGTGTCTTTCTATCTGTCTGTCTGTCTGTTTTGCTGCCTGTCTGTCTGTCAAACAGTGTTTGTCATTCTAACTGTATTCTTTCATTTCTCTCTTTCCGTCGTAATTTTTTCACCTTTTTTTGCTTCACTTTTCTCAAACAGATTTCTAAGAGGCGTTAGATTTTAGACTTTATTGAAGCGTAAAAAACATATATTAGAAGTTGATGAACAAAGAATAAGGAACTGACTCATAAATCATAAAACCAGCGAATTAGAACCATGCATCAGCAAGCATAACAAAATCATTCGTAAGTGGAATGACTCGTGTATGGGCGCTTTAGCAATAAGAGGATTCTAAGGACACATAGTACCAACACAATCCTTGGAATCCTTCAAATCCTTGTATTCATTGGAATAAAAAAGTAAGAGATATGAACTTGATTTCCATGAGCGTGGCCCGCTGTTCAGCATTGAAACACACCGCGAGATACTGGAAATGACGTCTCTAGTAACAAGCCCAATAGAGCTGTTAAGTGTGACGTGATTCGAACGCAAAACGACTTCCGGGTTCAAATTAATCATTACTTCTACAGACATTTTTCTGTGTTTTTTCTTCATAGTAGGATTTTCTATTCATATTACATCTAATATATTGTTGAAGGTAGAGAATAAATCCTGTGAATAAGTTGTGGCAAGATTTTAGCGATCTTTTGTGTGATTGGTCCCGGAAATACGTCACAACTTAAAAGCCCAATACAGACCATGGAACGGCATTAACCGTTAAATCCTTCCCTTGCTATCAGATTTTTTTAATATTTATATATTTTGTAGGTTTTGGTAGTATCTTGATTTTAAGACAAAGAAAAAAGGGGGTCACCGAATTGGTTGCCGAGATATTTTGCCGTAAAGAAGTGAAAAATGGGTTTCCTTGATATTTTGCCCATCAAAACATTCGGATGACGTCATCACGATGAGTGCGCACGCACTAAACGTATGCGTAGGACGGCTGCTGGCGAACAAAGCCCGTGAACTTCCTTAAAACGAGATACCGCATGTGCTAAAAGCCAACAACTTTTCGTTTTCTTCTGAAATGAAAGAGGGAGTGACTTACCATAGACCCTTTAATTGATAAGGCGGCCATCTTGAATAATGGGATGTCGAGGGGCCAAACACGTAGAAAATTTATAAAGCATAAATTGGCGGGGCTACGTTTTCAAATACTTTGAAGTCTTGGTGTTTATATTGTTCCAGCTACCAGCAAATCATTCAATTCCTTTTTAAATGTGCTTCTCATCGAACAGCGTAAAGTTATATAAAGACACGATGACAACTGTGCAGTCTATGAATTTTCCAATAGTTACCCCCTAGGCATCCCGTAATGCCTTGATTAAAACAATAGCATTCAAGATAGCTGCCGTATCAGTAAAAAGGTTTATTTCAACCCCTAAAAAAACGGCAATCATCCCCGCCCTTCGTTATACTGTACTTAGAGCGCTCGCCTCTCACCAAGGTGACCCGGGTTCGAGTCCCGCCGGGCTCGATGTCGTACGCGAGTAGATTTGTTTATTGGTTCTTTTATGCGTTTCGAGGTTTTCCTCCTTCTATAAAAATCAACTTCTAAATTCTAAATTCCGTTTTTTCAAGGATGCGTGGTCATCCATCTTGACGGGCCACAAAACTGGAAACGCAAATTCAGTAAAATTGTGAAGACAGTTTTATATTTAAAGAGGAGAATAATCGGTTTTATGAATTGTTATCGAAAAATCTCATTGAAGTGTATAATGATTCTCATAAAGCTCCTGTTCTGGTATCGTGGAGGGCGCAACCTTTAGCTTGAGAAAAAGGTGCATTGGAATCCAGTGGAAGAAGAGCCACTCTGTAATATCCACTGTTAATCCCATTATTATTATATTAGAATAACTCCATGGGTATGGGAGAAACACACGCGCTAAAACACTGATTTCAAAGTTCCAACATATTAGCTTAGGAAGTCTGAATAACTGTAAAGAGGGATCGGAAATTCCATGAAAATTGGATCACAATTAGACGTTTCGCAGATTTACTCCCATCTCGTTCAAATATCTACATTTTAAAAAAGCCAAAAAAACTGTAAGATAAGAACGAAGAGGAAAGACATATTGAGATATGAATGGTATTAGACGTAGTCACTAGCGAGCTCCGCAGCAGGAGATAGGCGTTGATTTCTTCTGCTTCTCCTGGGAGTGGCATTTGGATTTGCATAACTTGTTCCAAGGCTGGAGAACGAGGCACTCGTGTCGTAGATATTCGACGTGGACTTGGATAAATGGCGGTTACCAGCTTCCATGTTGGAGGTCTTGATCTGCTCAAGTTGCGAGTACAGCTTACGGATTTCTGCCTAAGAAAACAAGAGGAACATCGGTTATTGGTTTAATATTTGATTAAAAAACAACAGACTTGTTTGTATGTTGTATTGACCTGTATGTCTCTATTTCAAGCTAAATCTGTACAACTTGGTGATAATGATGACGATGATGCTGGTGGTGATGATGATGATGGTGATGATGATGATGGTAATGAAAATGTTGATGATGATGATGATGGTGAAGATGATGGTGATGATGATGGTGACCATGATGATGATTATGATGACCACGATGATGATGATGGTGATGACAATGATGATAATGATGATGGTGATAATGATGCAGATGATGATAATGATGATGGTGATAATGATGCAGATGATGATGGTGGTGGTGGTGGTGCATGATGGTGGTGGTGATGGTGATGCATAATGACAATGTCATTGGAGAAGATGTTAATGATTATCATCTTGACAGATGAGTTGCTTGCCTTTAAGTCATCATTTTCCTGAGCAATGTTGACAGTTCCTTCAGAACTAATACCGCTGGTCATGTTCTTCATGTTCAGTGCTGCTCCTTTAATGGAAGCAATTTTCCCGCTAGTATCAAACATGTCACCTCTTCCTTTGATAATCCTAAAAATCTAGACAACGTAATGCGAGTCAGAAGACACTCAAACATCATTACTGTACCGCTGTCTTTCTTGAATGGCAGCTCACTTATGGTTAGTCTCATTTCAGTGCCAGAATATTCACAAATATTAACGGTTATGTAAAGAATGCACAACTCCAACAACACAGTTTTAGACATCTTAAAATCACACTCCAATTATCATTAACTTAAATCCAAGAGCAACAAATGTCACTGAGCGCAAAATTATATGCTCATTCATCTTACGATAACATTCTGTGGAAACCTACCGGCACATACATGAAATCCACTTCGCACCACCAATATCACTGCGCACTACACACACCACTACACACCAAGTACCACCAAACTACCATACCTTACCGCACCTCACTCCACAGCTCACCGCACCTCACTTCACACCACAGCACACCGCACCTTACGTCACTCCACACCACACCGCACCTCACAGCACTACAATACATCTCACAACACACCACACCACACCTCATACCATACCACAACACACCTTACACCACACAACCCCATATCACACCACACACAACACCACAACATACCACAACATACCCTACCTTACACCACAGTACCCCATAACACACCACACCTCACAACATCACACACCACACTACTACAGCACCTCACATACCATCCATCAGGAACATACCAAAAGATGTATGAAAATTTACACCACACATACCATAATCACTACACATACCACTACACACCAAACACCAGGTATCACACTACCTACCACTCACTATCACACCACTCTACACTAATACTACATTATACTACAGTACAGCACGACACCACGTACAGCACAATGCAAAACACTACTCCACACACCACTCCACACTACTACTACATTATGCTACAGCACAACACCACGTACAGCACAATGCAAAACACTACTCCACACTACTACTAACTACATTATGCTACAGCACAGTACAACACCACGTACACCACACTGCAAAACACTACTCCACACAACACTCCTTACTACTACTACATTATACTACACCACAACACAACACCACGTACACCACACTGCAAAACACTACTCCACACACCACTCCACACTACTACTACATTATACTACAGCACAGCACAACACCACGTACAGCACAATGCAAAACACTACTCCACACTACACAACATCACATTTCCACACAACACTACAGCACACTACTACTTTACACACCAGGTACCAACACATAATACCACACAACACTTTCAGAAACCCACCGCTAATATGTTCATCTACCAAACCGGTTCACCTCCCTGTTCAAACCACAGCCTACCCATGCACCTGGAAAAGTAAATTTCTGTTCTTAAATGGTTACTGGTGAAGTCTTCTTACCTTGGGAATGAACACAAGTCCTATTAAAACAGACACAGTGAATTGAACACGGAAGAACTCGATGAGATAGTTCATGTCTGGACCAGCAACACTTGTAATGAATAACCTGTCAATAGAAAAACAAACGACTCTCAGTCCTTTTGCATTAAAAAGTCACGTGACTGCAAGTCGAAAACAAACGTCTGTATATTTTTTAAAGTTAAAAAAATTAAAAATGCTATGTTTTTTCTATGTTTTTTCTATGTTTTTTTTCCACTCATTTAAAACTCGTTTAACTGATTACATTGAGGGCACTCGAACCGTGGACACTTCCAGTTTTTTTGTCACTTATTCAAACCGCATACTGTAAATAATTCCTTGGTCCAATTGATTGAAAATAAGATTTATCTTTGATCACTTGGTGTATTTGAACCCAATTTTACAGGGTTTGAAAGAGTAGAAAGTTCTGGAAATAACAACATGAAAAATCTCGAAGTGTTCTCGGTTCGAGTCGGTCCTCACTAGTAGAGAGTTTTAGATTGAGTTTTGTTCTCAATTCGTGCAAATGGCAAACGTGACCACGTTTTCATCGTTTTCTTGTATTTTACTTTACCTTTTGCAAACTTTCTCACTACACACAGATATTCTTTCGTTTTTCTACTACTTGAATGTTATTGGTTTTCCTTTTAAGCTTTTTAAAAGAACGTTTCACATCAACTGACGTTACACGTTTGCCGTGAACGTAAAGCTAAACTCTCTACTGTATGATTCCAGCCGACTTGAATTAGGAGTATGTGAACCTTAATCGGGGGAAGTACTGTTTACCTCTAAAAGAGGGGTTATATTAGGCTACTCAAAATACTCTCTTTGAAAAGTTCATATATAACTAATTAAAGAATAGGCCTTTTGCAGCTTGTGATTACATGCTGATGTCGAATGAATGGAGCTCACAGTCACTTGGGGTTGGCTGTGAAGGATGACAAACAAACCTCGAAATATTTTCCGAATGATGATGATGATGATGATGATGATCATTTGTAAAGTCTGCATTCTAGGCAGGAATTCTTGCCATCTTTTCCACTCAGTTCTTGGTCAATAGCAAAACAACGATGCATTTCAACAATTCACAAGTGTAGAAGTCTGATTACTGTACACATTTTTTACTCTTTTTTATCCGACATTTTTGAATGTCATTTACTTCAGAAATGGTGAATTGTACCAAAACGTTTGTAGTCGTAAAATGATTGTTATTTTCTCATTTTATTTGTACTAAGAATGTCATTATTTGTATTATCACAAACCACACCCTATGAACAGATGGTAAAAAGAGATTATAGATTCAATGAATATATATATATATATGAAACAAACTATAATAGATTCTATGCAAGAGTCCCAGAGTTGAATCTGTGTGGTTCAAAAATAATAACTGGATATCTAATTAAAGTCCTTATCAAATGCATGCATTTTGTATTCAAGCATTCTGACTGAGTGGTTTACTTTTTGAAAGTGCATTTTGATTGGTGGTCATGGGAAGCCATTTGAGAGCACGGTATGGTATGGACATCGTATGACATTTTTTCGCGCATACAAAGTTCGTTTTGACAGCCCATCAAAAACCAACCAATCATCGCCCAAGAAGAAATCTGATCAGGCTTCATAGATTAAAAAAAAATAGCGGTCGAAGTCAGAAAAAATACTCTGAATCTTTGCTTCCCTAGCTAAGTTATAGCAATACATTTAAAATTCTACCTATTCTTATAACGAATACCTACATGTATGGGTCAAATGGTGCGTTGTTGTTTCAATCCTTTTATGAAATTATCGTGAAATGATAGCTCTTTGTTCGCCGATAAACAACTGAAACTATGACAGCCTGATCAACTACAACAATTCTTTGCGAGCATTCCCCGAGAACACCTGGTTTGCTCGGTACAAACTGAACAAGAGCATACCCTTCAATTCCATGAAAAAGCAATCATAGTGTTCACATTTTAGAAAGATTGGGTGCTTGCTCGGTTATTTTTTAATCGAGTTAGCCCTCGAGTCTAAGTTTCCTACGTCATTAAGACTGTATTAAAAGTTAAGCGTTCGGGTTTTTATAAAATTCAGGATAGAAAAGTTGGTGCCTTTAGTAATATTAGCAACGATTCGTAAAAAGTTAAATATGCAACGGTAAATTCTAATGCTAAAGTAGCTCTTCAGAAACTTTTGAAACGCTATAAAAACTTACATTATTTTACATATATATTATTTATTCCTTTTTAGTACTAGTTTAGTTTGGTAATAATTATTTTGTAAAAGTTGGGGTTTTACATCCGTGACTTGACAAACACCATAAATAATGCAACAACATAGGAATGGCTTTTCTCATTGCAAGCCCATAACAATTGATTATATTCTTTCTTCAGAGTTTTTTCTAGTTTTACTTTCAAAGGTGTCTAATGTTTTCGATAAACTTTGAAAGAAAACTTCCACTGTACAGTCGCACGAAACTATATTTTCCCTTCAGAGATATTTTTACTTTCAAAGGTTTTTTAATACCTTGAATAAAATTCAATTAGTTTTTTCCAATATACACTCGCCTAAGACTATATTCTTCCTTCAAAGACTTATTTTTACTTTCAAAGGTGCCTAATACTTTGAATAAGCTGTCAACAGTTTGCACCTGTACGATGGCGAAGTTAAAACACACGGCATGACAGGCTATAGTAAATCCAATGAAATATGATGCGTCCAGCCATGTGCTAAATAAAGGCCCTCTCTTCATTAAACAAAACCTTCATAATAACTTATTACAGTTTATCTGACGAGATGTCGTAATACATACCATGCATCTCAGTCGTTTTATTTATTTTTTCTCATTTCCATTCATTTTCCTAGTCAGAGATCCATTTTCTCTCACACAAATTTATTTGACCATGAGTTTATTTCATTTACAACTTTCTTATTTTTCTTGCCATTTTTCAATCACTCTTCTTACTTTCCCTAGTATATTCTAACTTTTTCTTATTCTTCATTTTATTTCAAATGCTTTTTTTTCATGAGATCAGTTCCCGATCATTTTTTCATGCATTTATTTCATCATCTTTATTATATATATTTCCATTTAGTTCCCTTTTGAACTGTGATACTTATTTTAAAATGTCTCATTTAAATTCACCCCGCGTAGGCCAAATAACTAGCACCTTTAACTCTAATTATCATAGGTAAAAACACGAGTTAAGAAGCTGTAGAAAATATTCTTGCCTTTCATCGATATTAACTATGCTTTCATCAATCTATATTTATTGGGTCCTTCATGAAACTCGCATTCAATACATACATCTATTTCCTAATCAGATTAAACGAAGATTCATTATCTCTCATGTCGTTATTATGCCACAAGATAGAAATTCTCGAAAGTATGCTGTGTTGATGAGTCGATGTGTCGTGCATCGATGTGCGGTTCACTATAAATACAATCAAAGAGAGTCTTAGAATCAATCTGTGTGATCTACTACAAACTATAATAGACTTACCGAATGTGTCCCTATCGAATCCAAAAGAAAAACTCAATAACAA